CTATCAACACGCATAATCGCTTTTCAGCGTGTTTATGAACGCCGTTGACTTAACGTTATTACTGTATATATAAATATGACTTACCTCAACCCCGTCCCTAAACCTAACCGTCACTGGGGTTAATGGCATTTATAACTGTTCCCTCATCATCCTAGAAAAAAAAAAGATAGCTCCCCAGATGTAGATGTACATTTTGCTTCGTTTCGCTTGGGCATTTGACGCCGTGTACAGACACGCGGAATGACGCGGACGATAATAGACATCCGCGTAGACATACACGCATATACACATGGATAGCTCAAAATGCGTAGATATAACACGCCACTTGACTCGAAAGTGACGTGTATGTTTACGCAAAAGTCATGATGTCATGTTGCTTTTAGACTATGCACCGGGTGCACCAACCATTTTTCCCGTTGTTAAACTAGCAGAAGTGGTTCCGGAAAGGTCCTAAGTGCACTTTGTGCCGTGAGCTTTAGACCATGTGCTTAGATCGTTAAAATAGGGTCCTTGGTTTTTAGCTTTTCAGGATTCTTTACTCAAAGCCTGGCTCTTAGAAGAAAAGGAAGGTGTCGATCAATGCCTTTAGAGCACACCTGAGACAATCTGCTTTATTAAATGTTCTTCCATTAAGCTCTATGTACTTGTGCTGTAGATCATTTAAACAAAGTCATTAATCATGCCTGAGTGTTGAGAACAATGGAGAGAGAGGAAATTATGAAGAAAACAGCCATGAACTTGCCACACAGCCTGAAAGAGGCTTTTATTTCAAGCTGAAATGAAATGGGCACAGAGCCTTTGACTGATATTTGAGTGATTCACATGGTTTAGGGTGTGCATCTGTATAAACACGGCTGATCCAATGCATCTGAATCACAGCAATGCCATCCAGACTCAGTTATAGGTTTCTATGCATCCAGCAAGCGAGGTCTGATTAACGAACAGAATGTTTTTTGTATGATGAATTAGATATTAGTCTAGTTAGTCTAACTGATTAAAATATTATTTATAAATTAGTCAACTAAAAGGGATCAATGTGTTTAGACAGTATATATATATATATGAAGAGTTCAGATGCAAAAGCCTCTAAGTGCCATTTGAAATTTTCTTCTAAAATGACCATTTTTATCAAGCTTGTATATTTAAGTTCAGTAATTTCACTTAAATGGCAATGAAGATTACCTATTAATTGTTATTTAAGTGAAATTACTGAACTTAAATATACAAGTTTGATAAAAATGGTCATTTTAGAAGAAAATTTCAAATGGCATTTAGAGGCTTTTGCATCTGCCCAGCAAACACAGAACGTTCCCCTAACGTTCCCGAATGGTCCCATGAGGCTATTTTTTTGGGAACCAAACAAGAACGTTATAGGAACTTTCCATGTAGGTTATTTTTAGGTTCCATTTTTATAACATAAGGAGAATGTTCCGGGAACGTTCCCTTAATCTTAAGGGAAAGTTCTAGGAATGTTCTGGGAACCAAAAACTAACGTTCCCAGAACATAAATTTGTTTGCTGGGTGAACTCTTCATATATATATGGTAACACAATAAGGTTTCATTTGTTATGTTAATTAACTAAAACAAAAGCCTACATTTTTTACTGTATATGTTCATCTTTTGTTAAAAAAATCCGTCGCTGCATATGCTTCCTCTGGATTCCATTAGGACTGCATGGATAAAAAGGGGTGGTTTACTGTTTTTTTTTTCTTTGCATGATTGTGTTTATGGGCTGCAATATAAAAAATCTTTAAAAAATCTTATTTTTCATAAATTTCACCTTTATTGTCAGACTCTTTCTCCTTTGTCCTTTGATTGACTGGTTGACTTCCTGAGTCTATGAAACCACTCCCTCAGAAAGAGGCAATGGGCTCAGATTGGTTAGTTTGGGCCGGTTTGTTGTGATTGGCTAAACTGTTGCTCCCGTTGTCCGGATACTTAACACCCATTACCTTTACGGTCGAAACGTGCCTGTGCTCCGGTCCAATGTAAATAATGGTGTCGATACTGCAGTATCAGTATGAGCCAGAATCAGACCCAGAAAGCGGCGATGAAGAGAGTCAAGCAGAACCTCACCACACACAGTTCTTACTAAAAGTTTCAGAATGGTAATTTGCCTATATTTTTTTTTACTTTATACACGTTTGTTTTACACAATAGCATTGAACTGACTGGCTACTAACGTTATAAACACAAACAGCGTTGGCATTGGTTTACGTTCTTGATCAAATCGAAAATAACAAAGTATATATACATGAAAAAATACATTTACAACATTAGTAGGCCTAAGTTATACAAAATTCAGGTCCATAATGTTTGTACGCGTTTGTCGTAGACACAAAATGTCTACGATCGTCATTTTCAGGAAATTGTATCCATTGTTGACGAAGTACAGCGTCCGTGGGAAGCCCGAACACAGGAGACCTGACAGCTGGTGAACACAACACACTTGACGAACCGCAGAAATATGGCCATGCCCTTTTTTGCATTTTCCGGAGGGAGGGTTGGCGTAAATGTACGGGTTAGTGACGTCTAAAACCCAGCTGTAGTCCCAATCAAGTCGTTTTTGTAGGCATTAAACTTCCTGATTTTTAAAGACGATATCTCTGCTTACATTGAACTTTCAGTGCTGCAACTTTGCAGATACTGTTCATGCACCAACAGCAACATTACAAACTATTTAAAATGAAAAAAGTGATATCGCAATCAACCCCTCCCCCCTTTAAATGCAGCCAAATATCAACAAGACAAGTATAAACGGTCTAGTTGAAAGGCTGAATAGAGTTTATTAATATAGACAGTCTCAAACAATAAAGAATACTAAATTAGTTTGCACACAATAAAAAGAGAACGAGCGAAAGGGAAATTCCCGTCTGCTCAGTTCCCTGCGCATATTATACATTGCGGACCATTATCTACACTTTGCGTCGGAAAACGTGAAATAAAGCCACTTAATTATTGTAGACATGCAGACCCATAATCTACGCGCTGCCTCGGTCCTTACTTGACTTATCCTTTCCTGGTTGTGACGTCACCTGCCCGTGGCGCTGACTCTCACCGTTGGACTAGTTGAATTACGTGCTTCAGACGCAATCACGCAGGGGCGTTCCCAAAGCGTCATCGACGCATCGCGAGCTCCCTCGAAAGGGAACTGTGATTCTCAATTGGATAGCGTCGATCAAAGCTCTTTGTGGAAATGAGTGACCTCAAGACACAGTATAAAACCAATGGGCAGTAAAGTAGCAGGGCCTCTGCTGTATTACATTAACTGCAGTGCGACTCATTTGTTAAGTGTCAATCTCTCCAATGCTGTAAACAGAAACATTAAATCTACCTGATGGACTGTGCTGGACTGTGCTTCAAGGGGTTTTGTGGCAGTGTCAGGGTGTGTGTGAATCTAGAAGGGTGTATTCCTGTTTGCTTTTGTCTGTGGCTGTGTTCTGTCAGAGGCACATCCGTAATTTCTCCTGCTTGGAACATCTTTCACTTCTATCCAGATTGTGTTTGTTTTAGCTGGCAGATAAAAAGCTTGCGGAATAGGAAATAAAGGCAGTCCTGCATGCCCTGACAGTAGCTGAATTTAAATGCAAGCATGTTTTCAAGCAGATTCTGACACTGATAATGGTGTTTCAGTGACATGGTAGGGGAGGCGAGGGATAATTGTGTAACACCTTTGATTTTATTTATTCAGAAAAGGTAGATTTAATTTTGAATGCAAATTAATTGATCATGTAAATATCTTTTTTTATCATTGTTTATTTATTCAAAGTGTTGTTCATGTCATGTTTTGATATCTGTATTGGCAGAGAAAAACCTGACATTATAAAATTCCATGTAAACATGATTTTCCTGTATTGCTGGGTGTTTATAATGTGCCCATTTATGATCATTATCATGGTTGTGCACGAAAACACATTTACTTTTGCTAATACTTACTTTGAACAAACCTAAACCTAAGTATTAAAATTCAGCACACAAGTTCTATTACTTTTCTATTAGGTTCTATTACTTTGCCAAGAAATCAGACATATTTTTTTTCCCCTGGTGGACAATAAAGGTTTTGTTGTTTTTTGGGGGGGGGGATTTATTCAGAAATTGTTTAGTCTAAACTTTTTAAATTTTTGCCTCTTTAAAAATATATAAATAAATAAGTTTAGTTGGCATTACAGTTATGATAAGTTTAAACATATCTATGAATTAAAGGGTTAGTTCACCTACAAATAAATATTGTCAATATTGACTCACCCTCATATCATGCTTTGTGCATTAGACTTTCATTCACCTTTAGAACACAAATATATATATTTTTATTGAAACCTGCGAGCTTTCTGTACCTCCAGTGACAGCTATGCAACTACCAGTTTCAAGCCCCCATTATAAATATAAAAATCCATGTGACTCCAGTGGTTAAAGCTCAATTTTAGTGACATGTGACAAGTGACATGATTTGTTTGTGCAGCAAAATATCATTTATCCGCTTTATTTATTTATTTATTTATTTGAGCAATTCAATGAGTCCTTGCTGAATAAGAATATTTAAAAAAAATCTATAGACCCCACACTTTGTGTGTAAATTATTTTGGGATAAGAGAGGATTAGATTGTGCTTATTGTGAGTTTTATTACTGATGTTTCAATCCAAGCTCCCCCATATATAAGTTTACTTGTGTTTCTGGTAATTCTGCATAGTTATCTTTGTGTTTCCCATGTTATATGCATTTGACCTTACAGTCTAGGGTAAAACAAATTGTTTTGCTAATTATTTCACAGTGCGGTTTGCAAGTAATCACACCCTTAGGCCATCTGTGTTACCAACACACAAATGCCTTCGAGAGGAATGTTTCAAGTGCGCTCGCTGAACTGTGATACATTTTTCAAAACTCAAGGGACCTTCCGTTGGGTTCCTGCCCCAGCCATCAAGTGGAAAAACACATATATCTTGGTTGAATAAATTGGTGATAATGGTGCTGTTTTCAATATTTTCTCTCTTTCGTTTGTAGACACATAGAAAATTGGACTGGATTGCAGATTCTTAAGGATGTTGACATGGAACTGTACACAGGACTCCAGAGACTGTGAGTATTCAAAAACAAATCCCATAGAGGTTACATGCATTTTACACTAAAGTCTGGTGCACACTCCACGATTTGAATCATCTGAGACATGTTTTGGGAAGATGTCTTTAATGTTTAGTTCCCTTTTTTAAGGGGACCCACGCTGTGTCAATGACACTTTGAGAATGCCTCTGTGTGATTGCGTCTGAAACACCAACTAGTCCAATAGCGAGACGGGACATCACGGACAGGTGACATCACAAGGCATAAAAGCACATCCGGAATGACCGGCGTTAAATTCTGTGCCTCAGCTTCTGTCAAACATATATCGGACGGTGGGTCCTGCAGATTATATAAAAAAAGGTTACAGAATCCAGTTTGGTTCTCATCCACTAGATTCATTGGGGTTCTACTGACGTTAGTACATCCCGAGCAGGCTCTGGTGATGGAACAAGAAGTAAAGTCTCTAGTGAAGAAAGCTGTAAAACCATTTCACAAAATGTGTAGATGCAGCTCTGGCGGCACTTAGACTGCAAGGAATTTGGAATCTGAACTACAGTCCCTCCAGAAAAACGCGATTATGCGATCGCTGAATTCAATGCAAAATCAGCCAAAGTCCGCATATTTATGCGGGGGCCGCATTTTTTCAAATATGCCGCACTTTCGCCGCATAAATTGCCGATTTCCGTGCAAAATGTGCGGGGTTTGCATGATTTCATAATCCTCGCATTTTCGTTGCAAAAAAGTCACATGTATCTTAGCAGAAAGTTGAAAAATGTTGCGTTTGCTTCATACAAGAGCTGCCATTTCCCCCTGTTTCCATGGGAACGTTATGAAGTGACGCAATTACGCGACGGGATAGCTCACAGCTGAAGTTATTGCAGAGGCCAGACAGACTCACGGAGGCGATTGACATCTCACAAATCGAACTCGTATAACTGTCTGTCACACGTTCTACCGTCACATCGTTACTTAATAAACAACATAAGATAAAAGAAGTAGCATCAAACAGAATTTACCCGCACACATGGGGTGTTCGAAGCGCACACAGTTCAACAGGGAGCGCGCAGCTCTTAAAGGGGCCACACCTTATTTACACTCGTTACAGTCTGAAATAAAACAAGATGAGAAATTAAATATTCCCAGCACTTTCTGTGATGTAGTATGCTTGCTTATCAAAGAAAGTAATAAGAAATGACTTTTTACATTAAGGTAGTAGCCTAGTGAGAACAGGGTGTCGGGGAATCACTTTTTTTCCTCTTTTTCATCAATCCGCAGTTTTTGCAAGTTCCCGCAATTTTTGCAAATTCCCGCAATTTTTGCAAGTTCCCGCAATTTTTGCAAGTTCCCGCAATTTCATCGCATAAAATTGCATAAATATCCCGCATAATCCATCGCATTTTTAAAGAAAACGGGCCGCGTAATCAAGGATTTTTGGCCGCAACAATCACAAAAAAACTGGAAGGACTAGCAGAGTCGGAGCAGATGGCGGTTCAGCATTGAAATGTCGTTCTCGCATTCAAAAGGTGGGGTTGAGACTGAATGCAGAGAAGAGTGTGCTTTCTCCAGTTGTGAGGACCACTTTCCTTGGTGTGGTATGGGATTAAGTAACGATGCAGGCCGTCTTTTAACCTGCTTATGTTAAAATCTGATTTTATCCATCCATCCCAATTCCCATCCATCCATCCATCCATTTACTTGTTTCAGACCCGTTTGACCATTCTTATGCAGAACACAAATCTGACCTTCAAAATATCTCTTTTGTGTTCCATGGAAGGAAGAAGTCATGCAGGTTTGAAACAAGTGATGACAGAATTGTATTTCCAATTGAACTGTCCCTTTATTGATGTAATGATCTTAAATTGTTTAAAGTGCATCAGGCCTAAACAACATTTGAAGTGCCAGGCTTTTTAAACATTTGTAAAATTTTCTAGTTCAAGCATTGGTAAGGGACCGCTGACCTGCTCGTAGGGATTTCACTAGCGCACGCAGAAGAACCATTGCAGCCGTGCCGAAATGAAATATCTGCCTACACTCGTAATCCCACCCCCACAAGTTCATGGATGTCATGTGAAGGACCATTGTTTTTAGGTTTTTAAGAGCTGAATGGTTAAGAAGAAAAATAAATCCAGCCAACATCCTCCTTATATCTTTCTCATAATAGAGATGGATAATTGTATTCCTTGAAATAGTTTACTATAGAGCCATCATCATAATAAAACTAATTCTGTACTGATTACTGTTCACCGGATAAGGGTGTTGTGAGTGTAATCACTTTTTGCATTAAATTCCTTTAATGAAAAGGATGCAGTCATTACCAATTAATGCCACCCAGACTGTGCACAGAGTCTTTAGGATGCACAATTCATTCCAGCTGCCGCTGCGGCTCAGCGCTATGAAATTGGGGACCCTGATGATACCATTATTCTAATGACACTCTCAGAAGAGATGGGAAAGATGGCAAACTGAGATTGGTTCTGCAGTTTATCATCATAAACGATGTATATCAAGCTGCAAGGCTCTAATGAACTGTTGGCTTTCTCAGGTTTGAATGATCGACTTGCAATGCCAGGTGCAAATGACCAACAACAGGGCCCTCAGTCAAAATTACTGGATGAAGTTGGTGGTCTTACCTTGGGAAAAATAATTTGAACTCATCATTGTTGGATTGATGCAGTCCATTTACCATTTGTGGCCAGCCAATGACACCTATCATTCACATATGTTTGAGAGGAACTGTGCATTTTCATATAGTAGTCTCTCTCTCTGTTTTTCAGGACAATAATGAACTGCAATTTACGGACAATCCAGGCACGTGCATTTGCACAGAACCCTCATCTCCGCTACATGTGAGTAAAATATCTTCTAGTGTGCTTGTGTCATGAAGGAGTAATTGTTATTCTCTGAATGAATCCTTTTTGTTTAGTTCCACTCATCTGTAAACAATGTTGAGTAAGCTACATTTAGTGCTTAGTAGCTTAGGGTATAGTGTAATTATGAAACTAAATGAATCAATGAACAAATCAAAAAGAGTTAAAAATCACAACTTCTAGTCTTCTAATATATTTTTTGATCGTCAACACTAGAACGGCCACGACGGTCATTTTGACCATTTTGAATTTTATATCTGCAACTAAAATAAATAAAATCCTGCTGGTACCTGACTTTTCCAGCCCGGTCTCAACCCAAGGCGTCATATACTGACGCTTTTGACAATGCGTATACATTCAACGCACATGGCACCCTTTAGCGTCAATATGAGATGCAGATATATATGGGCCAGAAGGTGCCTCCTAGTGGTCTAACCCTAACCCTTCCCGCAGACCTAAACCTACCCATAACCGAAGCGTGTTATATTGACGCTAAATGATGCCATCTGCGTTGGATGTATACGCATTGACAAAAGCATCAGTATATGACGCCCTAGGATGAAAATTCGTTGGACTTTTCCTAAAAGTGTCAGTATTTTCATTTAAAATGTTTTTAATATAAATTACACATAAGGCAAAACAAACTAATTAAAGGGATAGTTCACTTTGAAATTAATTTTTGATATGTTTTAGCTTACCTCAAGGGCATCCAAGATGTAGGTGTCTTTGTTTCCACAGTATTTTCAATTTTGACATTTTTCGGTCAAACCGTTGTTGTCTGTCAGTCATATAATGCAGTTTTAGGGGGTCCACCTCAAAGAGCATCCACAAAGAAGTCAAAATTAAACATGATTTAATGACTCGTGAATGTAAGTACACACTGATGGCCTAAGACATGAAACGAGCGGTTTGTGTGAGAAAACGAACAGTATTTATATAGTTTTTACCTCTTGTTAACAGCCGTCGAACTGATCTGAATCAGATGTCCAACTGAACTAAACTGAACCATCTCCAGACGTTTCGCCCGAAGTGATCTCTCGCGCGTCTACGTCACGCATTGTTTACACGGAGATTTCGGAAGTTTTACCTTTCACTAAACATATTTAAATATATGGGAAATCGCAATGGAAGACGAATTCGATATATCTAAATATGTTTAGTGAAAGGTAAAACTTCCGAAATCTCCGTAAAAACAAATATACTGTATTTCGGCCATAGACCACACTGAGTTTTGTGGTACATTTGTTACATACTTTTGTTACATTTCCCGCGGTTGACCTTTGTCTGTTAGAAAACGATCAGAAGATTCCATTGCAAAATGACAGATATGTTTATTGAGAGCTGGTCAGATGCTGGGAGAGTTAAGGTGTGCAAATATCCAGTATGAAGCCCTTGGCTGCCCAGGGAGGCGTGTAGAACCAGGAGTGCTGAACACGGATGGATGACACATGGAAAACGGATTCAGACAGAGAACAAACACGCGGGCAACATCCACAAAGGTCTGACAAAGACTAGGCGACAACAGTGACACTAAAAAGGCTTCGCTGATCAGCTGCAGCTGGCGTGTTGATCAGAAGCAGCAGGTGTGCTGATCAGTGGCAATGATCAGCGACCACACACACACACACACACACAACAAGACGAGAAAGGAGACAGCGAATTCATAAACTGTTACATTGTCTTTATCACAATCAAAAGAATATCTAAATAAGATACTTTTAGTTGTTATTATCTTGTTCTGAGTTATGTTGAATGGATATGGAATATATAGCCTATCTGTTGTGAATATGCGATAATTATTTACGGGCTAGCCTACTAATGATATTATTATTTATAAATGTATGATCAAATTATTTAAATGCACAGTTTGGTATTATTTTGTTTTTACAAGATATCCTAACACAAAAAAATGCATTAATCTCTCAATTGGGTATTTATTATTAAAGATATAGAGTTTGCAATCTAATGCTCAATGACCGCTTGTGTCAGTTCTAGAAGTTATGGAATTCTGGCACTTCTAGTGTTAAAGGTATTTGGTGTTGTTTGTCCCATAAGAATTGTCCTAAGTAATTGCAATATAGAATCTAGTGGCTCGGATCTCGCGTTTGCCGAGGCAGCGCATAGATTACGGGTCTACTCAGCAATAAAGATTCTGTGACTGGGATCTCGCGTTTTCCCAAGGCAGCGGGTAGATTAAAGGTCTGCATTGCAATTCAGAATCTACTGGCTCGAATCTCCTGTTTGCTGAAGCAGCGCGTGGATTACGAGTCTACAATAAAATGGTTTCGGGACACATCAGTTTTCAACGAACGAATGCACGCCAACTCGTCAAATACCGGCGTGATTACTTCGTCTTCCAAACAGATGGAAATTGACAAAAACTCTTAATAGTCCGATCCAATTTGACTTGTAATGGTGCCCGAATCACACACTGTTCCTTTGTTGGCCAGTTCCCCCGACTGAGCCTGGTTTCTCCCTAGGTTTTGTTCTCCATTCTGTCACCTGATGGAGTTTTGGTTCTTTGCCACTGTTGCCTTGGGGTTTGGCTTGCTTAGTTGGGCACATGTAATATTCAACAATATTATTGATTATTTATGTTATCACTGTGAAGCTGCTTTGATACGACCTAAATTGGAAAAAGCGCTAAATAAACGTGACTTGACTTAACTTCAAAACTCTGGAATTGGCTGAGGCCAAGAACCTTCCCTCAAGGAAGCTTTTTTTATTAGCCATTACTTCTCTGAGGAGAGAAGGAGACCTTCAGGCACTCTCTATATCTCATGAGTGCCTGAAGTTTTCTCCAGGTAACATTAAGGCTATCTTGCATCCCAGGCCATGCTATGTGCCTAAAGTGCCATCTGATGTGGCACGGCCTATGGTTCTGCAGGCTTTCATCCTCCACCTCACGTGATGCCGGATCACGAAAGACTTAATTGGCTCTGTTCATGGCGGAAGTCAGTTCAGTTTCTGGTGTGCTTCGGGTTGCCCAAAAAGGGCTTCCCGCATCCAAACAGACTATCAGTAACTGGATCATTCAGGCTATCTCTATGGCCTGCGCAGCTTGCCTTCACCTTTGGCCGTGAGAACTCATTCGACCAGAGGCATGGCGTCCTCTAGAGCCCTCTTTCAGGGGCCCCGATCCAAGAAGTGTGCAATACAGCAGGATGGGCTAAAATGTATACTTTTATATGATTCTATAGCCTAGACATTTCTTCTACGCCAGGCACTCTAGTGCTCTTGTCCTAAGTGTGCATGTGCCCAGCTTCAAACTGGGACAGGCAGGGCTAATTGTGGCATAGTGGATACTCGTTCCCCAAAGTGTCGTAGCAGTTTGAGTTCCCTCGAAAGGGAACGAGACACTGCGTCCCTCCACCACGCCTTCCCCTGCCTGGGAGCGACTTGCTTCATCGCAGAAGCTAACTTTGTGCCGGCGTCCATTTGTAGCTTCCGTGTATGCCGTCACGTTACGTCATAATGCAGCACTAATCAGGATTGGATTCGTTTCATACATACTTCAGATGCGTTACGCTAAGGGCGTTCCCCAAAGTGTCGTAGTCGACACAGTGTCTCGTTCTCTTCTCAGGAAACAAGAGTTACAGTCGTAACCCGAGACGTTTTCTGCCTGCGGTAACTATGAATGAAACGTCACTTCTTACTGATTCATCTTTCTTTCTTTCTTTCTTTCTTTCTTTCTTTCTTTCTTTCTTTCTTTCTTTCTTTCTTTCTTTCTTTCTTTCTAACTAATCTTTCTTTCTTTCTTTCTAACTAATCTTTCTTTCTCTCTTACTAATCTTTCTTTTTTCTAAATAATCTTTCTTTCTAACTAATCTGGCAATGTGGTAAACCATACTAGAAACATGGTAAATCATGTTAAACCATGCTAGCACATTTTAAACTTTTTCAAACTTTCTGTTTGACCCAACTTAAAGTTTGTCTACAAAATTATTATTATAATTTTATTAAACTGAATAAAATACTTTTATATGATTCTATAGCCTAGACATTTCTTCTACGCCAGGCACTCTAGTGCTCTTGTCCTAAGTGTACATGTGCCCAGCTTCAAACTGGGACAGGCAGGGCTAATTGTGGCATAGTGGATACTCGTTCCCCAAAGTGTCGTAGCAGTTCGAGTTCCCTCGAAAGGGAACGAGACACTGCGTCCCTCCACCACGCCTTCCCCTGCCTGGGAGCGACTTGCTTCATCGCAGAAGCTAACTTTGTGCCGGCGTCCATTTGTAGCTTCCGTGTATGCCGTCACGTTACGTCATAATGCAGCACTAATCAGGATTGGATTCGTTTCATACATACTTCAGATGCGTTACGCTAAGGGCGTTCCCCAAAGTGTCGTAGTCGACACAGTGTCTCGTTCTCTTCTCAGGAAACAAGAGTTACAGTCGTAACCCGAGACGTTTTCTGCCTGCGGTAACTATGAATGAAACGTCACTTCTTACTGATTCATCTTTCTTTCTTTCTTTCTAACTAATCTTTCTTTCTTTCTTTCTAACTAATCTTTCTTTCTCTCTTACTAATCTTTCTTTTTTCTAAATAATCTTTCTTTCTAACTAATCTGGCAATGTGGTAAACCATACTAGAAACATGGTAAATCATGTTAAACCATGCTAGCACATTTTAAACTTTTTCAAACTTTCTGTTTGACCCAACTTAAAGTTTGTCTACAAAATTATTATTATAATTTTATTAAACTGAATAAAATATATATATATATATATATATATATATATATATATATATATACACATCCTTCTTCTATAAGATGAAAAAGTCAGGTGGGATGTAACAGACTAGACATCTGCTGCGAATCCAGACCTCCTACAGTGTTTCATCACTCTCGCTTCTGAGCTTCTTCACCTGCCAAGCCCTCCCATCTTTCTCACCACATCCTCTTTTCGCCGTAACCTCAAGGCAGTTTTCCTCTCCACTCCTCTTGATCCTTCAGTAAGGAAGCCAAGTGGACTATT